TCGCAGCCCCACCTTGCCAGCTTTGGAAAGCCACCCAGATGCTCAGACAGCAGTGGGGCCAGGCCACGCTCCTCTGCCTACCCTGTGCTTTTCTGTGGGTTCAAGGACACACATCTGAGCGAAACAGCAGAGGGGTGGGGCTGGAGTGCTGTGCCCTGAGTGCCTGAGGAGGGCGGCTGTGAGTTGTGGGGAGGATCAGAGCACTGGGTCCAGGAAGCCCAATGGAGAAGGGGGCGCGTCCACTTGGTCAGGGGTGCAGGGGCCGGGCCAGGAGAGGCCCAAGGACAGACTGTGGGACTTAGCCATGTGAAGAGGAGTTTTGGGGGAGTCATGGAGGTAGGGCCTGACTGGGGGCGATTAGAGTCCCCAGGCACCCCCACGTCTCTGGGATCTGAGGGCAAAAGCTGAGTCACCATTTGACAAGTGTCCCCAGAGCCCAGCACGGCATTGGCTCAAGTTCACTTGATGTTAAGTTACTGCCCATCGACCACTGGACGGCCCTCCCCAGGCCCCAGGGCCCACAGGGACACGCCTGAAGGTGAACAGGCCGGGTCTGTGACTCCTGGTCGAGGGAGCCATGGGCGTCTCAGCGAGAAGGTGTCAGAAAGAATCTGTCACCGCAGGCCATCATCACGTGAGGCAGGTCGAAGGCAGCAGGGTTGGTGCTGGGCTGCAGGCTGTCGGACGCCGGGCGAGTCTCTGCCTGGGTGAAGCAGAAGTCTCACGCATCCTTCGCGAGAGAGGAGGCAGTTGGGATTTGGGGGTGCACAGCGACCTTGCTTCTGGGCTCGGATGCAATTGCCAGTGGCCCAGCCTCGCCTCATTCCATCACAGTCTAACGCGGCCTTGGCTGGGCCTGGCGTCTGGGAGGCTGTGTCCCCAAGGGGGCCCACACAGCCTGGCCATGAGGGCCAGGTCGGTTCCAGACGCCAGTGGCCGCTTGTGTTCCTGGTCCTCCCACGCGACTCTCCGTACGGTTTCCCCAGATCGACGCTTACTCTGAAAACCGCCCGTCACTGCTTTGCACGGCGTTGGGGCTCCTTAGCTGCGGTCACTCAGGGGGTCTGCCCCTGGCTCTGGCGCTCACTTCCCCGTGGCTTTGAGAGCAGCAAGAAGGTGCCCCCAGGAGTGATGGTTAATGTCACGTGCCCACTCGGCTGGGCGGTGGGGCCCGGCCGTGTGTCGGACACCGTCTAGAGGCTGCCGTGAAGGTGTCTGGAGGAGAGACTGACGCGTAAAGCAGAGGGCTCACCGGAACGTGGGTGGGCCTCCCCCAATCAGCCGAAGGCCTTGCAAACACAGACCGAGTGTCTCGACAAAGAAGGTTGGGTGCTCGACAGTCAGGTTAAATAGGTAAGTGGCAAAGAGACAGATGATAGGTAGATCTTGGATAGGCGGACGGGTAGAACGGTGGCTAAATGAAGGTAAACGATGGTCCAGGAAGGGGCTGGTGGGGCCTGGCCGGCCCCTCGCCGCTGCTTTGCGAGGACTGGGGTCGGGCTGGCGGTGGGCTGTCCAGGCAGCGAGAGTCGGGGCGAGGACCTCTCCGGCCGGCCTCGTTCCTGCTGACCCCCAGACGTGCCCGTTGCATCCTCCGTGTGGGTGGGGGGGTGGGCGAGTCCCACTGGGCCTGGAGCAGAGGAGGATCGGGGTGCTGGGCTTTGTGCCCGGCCGGCAGACTGCCGGCGTCACAGGAATCCTGCCGACAAAGCGAATGCCGGCCTTTGTGTGAGAAGGGCCCGGTCAGCTCCCGGGCAGCGGAGCGCCAAACTGCTGAGGGCAGGCTTAGGCCGGCAGCCGGGAACAATGGGAGAGGGGACAGCACGTCTGGGCGGGTCGCCCTTCAGGCAGCATTTCCTGCCTGCTGCTGGCTTTGCAGGGGTTTGACGAAAATCCCTGACAGGTCCTGATGTGTTGAGATAGCGGAGGAAAAGGATCTTGGGGATTGTGGCTCAGGCTCCCCAAACACACACCGCACACAGAGACACACGCTGACACGTGTGCACACCACACGCAGGGACACACCTACAGACACACACACACACAGAGACACGGCCAGCCAGGGGACCTGCCCTGACAGCCATGGCGCCCCACACCTGCCCCGCTGTCCCCTGTCCCCCTGGTTCCTTTAGCAGGTCGCCCTCCACCCAGGACCCTGCCCTGAGCCCACACTCCAGCACAAGGCCCCTTCACCCCTCAGCTCGCTGAGCCTCTCGGGGAGCCCTCCCCTCTGTGTCTCAGACTCACGCGCTGTGACGGCCCGAGCCCCTTGGGACGCAGGGTCCATGCAAGCAGCCGGGTCCCTCCAATGTGTGGGGGGCCCCGAGCACCTCACACGGGCGTGGCAGGGCGTCAGCGGGTGTCTGGGATAAACGGAACCACCTCTGGATTCAGTTCCTTTTCTTGGCTTTAGGAGAGGCATACTTTTTGTGTGTTTGACTTTTAGAAAATTTACCCTTTTCCCCTTTAACCTGCAGTGCCCGCTGGACAGCCTGACCCAAAGGAGGTGTGCTGGGCTGCGGCCGCCCGGAGTCTGCTGTGTCCCTGCTGGTAGGGCAGCTCTCTGGGCCTCGGTCTCCTCGGGGAGCACCCGGGCGAGCCAGTGCCTCATGGTCACCCCCCAGTGTCCCCAGGCGACGGCCCCATGTGCCTCTTGGCTGGATGCACCAGGCCAGCTCACCTGCCTCTCAGGCCAAGGTGGCCGGGGTGGGGGGCAGAGAGGGGCACAGGTGGAGGGGATGGCCCCTCTCCAGGGAGCTGGGGTTGGGGAGCTGTGGAGAGAGGCCAGCGGGTGGTGAGTGGAGGCCGGACACCAGGCCAAGGGTGGCGTGCTCACACAGTCCCCGGGGAGGAAGGCGCAGCTCAGAGGCGCCCACTCCCACCTCCTGACGGGGCCCATCTCCAGGTGCAGTTGCGTCCTGGGGTACTGGGGGTCAGGATGCCAACATGAATTCAGTCCTTAACACCTGCTCTCTACAATGTCTTGTGACCCCCCAAAGCAGTACTCAGCCCTTTCACGGTCACTCGCTGACCACAGTGGCAGAGACGGACAACCGGAGGCCCCGTCACCCCGCGGGCACGTGCAGCTGAGCTGCAGACGGCTGCGATGCGCCTCAGGGGGAAGCGCGTGTGTTGGGGACGCCTCGTTCAGGTGCGAGCAACGTGCCGTCGGCTGTGGGTTCAATGTTAACGAACCAACGGCATCTGTTACATCGGGCGCCTTTGAGCGGAAACACACACGGGTATCTATCGATCGGTTGACAACACTGTCGAGGCCGGAGGCCGGCGGGAGCCAAGTGGCCCGGTGTTCCCTAATGTGGTGCACAACGGCTTTGTGGAGTGGAGCAGCAGCCGAGGGCAAGGAGAATTGCTTGTGTTGCCTGTGCACCGATTCCCCGGGGCTGGGACTAGCAGGAGAGGAGACGCGGTTTGGAGGGTGGCTCGGAGCCGACAGCGCCCGCGGGCAATGAAGACACGCATGGACCCTGAGTTGGTTCCAGGACTGTCTCTAGCCTTCGCAGACTCCGCACCCCCTTAGCACGAGGCCCAGTGCTTTCTCTCACCTTGGACGGGTCCTGGCTCTGAAGTGGCATCTCCAGCGTGAGTTCAAGGAGGAGCCCAGGCCCAGACCCGAGGGTCTTATTGGGCTGTGACGACACGGGGTGGCGGGGGGTGAGGTGAGAATGAACACACACGCGTGTCAGAAACAGCATGTCCGCCATCGGCCCTCACCCCTGCCGCCTCAGCGCCAGCTTACTCTGCAGGCTGTGCCCGCCAGCCATGCAGCTGGTGCCACCGCGCCCCAAGGAGGCCTCTGCTCCCCCGGCCCGCTGCACACACAGCTCCCAGCCCGGAGAGGGGTGGGCGGGCGTGTCGGAGCTAGGGGTGGGGGCCAGGGCACTTCCGGGGGCCTGCGGGACCTCTGCGGACCCTTGGCCACCTGGAGCTGTGGAGCCCCCAGGACCAGGTTGGCGCCTCAGACTTGGCTCCCGCCTGCAGCCCCGGCCTGTTTGAGCGACAGCATCGGGGTCGGGTGCAGAGCGAGGACGGCCAGGCCTCCCCTCGGTGCCGGACGTCGGGGGACTTGAAACACCTGTCCTCGGCACGAATCACCTCTTCACGCAAGGTGTGAGAAAATCAAAATGAATGCAGAACGTGCGATGAACGACACATCGGAATTTTACGCACAGACAGGGCCGGCATGACCCAGCTGACCTCTGTCTCAGCTCTGGGATGGCGCTGCCTGACACTGGCCGCCGGCCCGGCCCTGCGGGACCCTATCCATGGAAGACCCAGCCGGCTGGACGCTAGTGCCCCTTCCATCCACTCCCCACTCCCGGGAGGGCTCTGTGTGGGGCTGCCCACCCCCCTGCCCGCACCCCTGACCTGCTGCCGCGCTGACCCCGGCCTGGACGGAGGGCCTGCTCTGAAAGTCCCTCTTCTCTTCCAGGTCTTCCGGTGCACGAATGGCAGGTGCTTTTCATTGCTTGGTGTTTTCTGCTTTTCCAGAGATTTCTACCAGCGTGCAGAAGTGTTGTTGCAGGAAGACGTGGTGGAGGCGAATCTGGTTTGAATGACGGTGTGTCCTCGCCTAGCAGCTGTGGGGTTTGGGGGCCACTAGCTGTGGGGTCTAGCCTCTGCGCCTCGATTTCCTGGTCTGTGACGCAGGAGTATGAGCACCCATGGGTGGGGTGGCCATGGGGTCACACAGGACCATTTAGCAGACAGCTGTCCTCCACCCAGTTACGGGAGATGCGTCTGTGCTGCCCCCCAGGTGAGTGGCGGTGGAGAGCTAGCTGCACAGGGGGACGGCACCCCCTGGGGGCCCCCCGGCGTCCAGCGCTTCGTGCTGGTCAGAGCCCAGGGCTGCAAGCGGTGGGCAGTCTGCCAGGACCAGGCTTCTGCTGACTGGACAGCCTTCCTCCTGAGTTCACGCTTTCTGGACAAATCCCCCTAATGCCTGCATTCTGGCCCCGGCGTATATAGGGCGGGCCCGAGCCCCGGCTCCCCACCTCACTGCCCAGAGGCCCCTGCCCGAGTCCCCACCGCCGGGGTCCCTGCAGTGCCGACGGCCACCATGGACATCGCCATCCAGCACCCCTGGTTCAAGCGTGCGCTGGGCCCCTTCTACCCCAGCCGGCTGTTCGACCAGTTCTTTGGGGAGGGCCTCTTTGACTACGACCTGCTGCCCTTCCTGTCGTCCACCATCAGCCCCTACTACCGGCAGTCGCTCTTCCGCACCGTGCTGGACTCGGGCATCTCCGAGGTAAGCCCGGCTGGTCGGGGGGTGGGGGGAAGGGCGGGGCGGGGCGGAGCTGGAGGACCGGCCGGGGTTTCCAAGGCCTTTCGGCCCTGGTGCAGCAGGCACTGAGCTCCTGAACCCTCGCCTTGTTTCATGGAGTGGATGGTGACAGCTGAGGGGAGGCCTTTCCCCTTCCCCCCAAATCATCCCCCTGACACGCAGAGGCTGGGTGGGCACCCCCACGGCAGAGCCTCCCGTGCCTCCGGGGAGGGGCCGGGAGGGGGAGCCCACCTGGGCCCGACCGCTGTCTTTTCCTCCATCAGCTCATGAGCCACATGTGGTTTGTAATGCACCAACCACAGGCTGGGAGCCCCAAGAACAACCCCACCAAGGCAAGTTCCACGGCAGACGCGAGCTGTGTGCTCCGCAGCTGCCCCGCTCCCCTCTCAGCAGGAAGCTGGGTGGGGGGTGAGCTGCCCAAGGTCCCCAGCCGGGGGCCGCCTCCTCCCTGAAGCCCTCTGCGGCCCACAGAGATGCGGAGAGCGGGCTCATCCCACGTCTGCTCAGGTGCCCAAGGCCAGGCCCAAGGGGAGGCAACGAGAGCCACGGGCCTTCCCTTCCCGAGGAGCCAAGACTGACCCCAGGGCCAGGGTGCTGGAGGTGCTGGCCTCTGTCACCCACGGTCTAAACACAGGCCCGCCCGGAGCTGACACAACGCCGATGCACTCTGGGGGCTCAAAGAGCCCAAACAACCCTCTGAGTGAGGGAGGCGGAGGCGTGTGGGAGTGCTTTGTGCGCCGTGCCTCGGCGGCCGCCTTGTACACTGTGAGGCGGGACCAGTCAGTGTGCAAGGACGGGGCCCGGGCTGTTGATGGAGAGACGAGGGGACGCCAGGGCATTGGCCTTAGTCCTTGTGCCGGGTCCCCCCAGCCAGCCAGCCTTACCCAGCCAGCCAGCCAGCCAGCCTTACCCAGCCAGCCAGCTTTACCCAGCCAGCCAGCCAACCTTACCCAACCAGCCAGCCAGCCAACCTTACCCAACCAGCCAGCCAGCCAGCCAGCCTTACCCAGCCAGCCAGCCAGCCAGCCTTACCCAACCAGACAGCCAGCCAGCCTTACCCAGCTAGCCAAACTTACCCAACCAGCCAGCCAGCCAGCCAGCCTTACCCAGCCAGCCAGCCAGCCAGCCAGCCTTACCCAACCAGATAGCCAGCCAGCCTTACCCAGCTGGCCAAACTTACCCAGCCAGCCAGCCAGCCTTACCCAACCAGCCAGCCAGCCAGCCTTACCCAACCAGATAGCCAGCCAGCCTTACCCAGCTGGCCAAACTTACCCAGCCAGCCAGCCAGCCTTACCCAACCAGCCAGCCAGCCAGCCTTACCCAACCAGATAGCCAGCCAGCCTTACCCAGCTGGCCAAACTTACCCAGCCAGCCAGCCAGCCTTACCCAACCAGACAGCCAGCCAGCCAGCCTTAACCAACCAGCCAGCCAGCCAGCCAACCAACCCACAACAGCCGCCCAGCCATAACCAGGCAGGCACCCACAGACGCCGCCACCTTGAGCCCCCCGTTTCCGGTCGTCAGCTGAGTAGCCGCACAGCCCCTAGTCAGGACTCCCTGGGACCTGGTCCCCGGGGAGAGCGTCAGGAGAGTTGGAGCTCCGACCTGCAGTTTCTGTTCTGATAACTGGATGGAGCCACCGGCCACTCCCCAAGGGCCCCCTGGCCTGCCGGGCAGGGACCGGAGCAAGCTCCCTCCCTGAGCCTCGGCCCCAGGCAGACCCACATGAGCGGCGGTTGGGTTTCAGGTCCGGTCTGACCGGGACAAGTTCGTCATCTTCCTGGACGTGAAGCACTTCTCTCCGGAGGACCTGACGGTGAAGGTGCAGGAGGACTTCGTGGAGATCCACGGCAAGCACAACGAGAGGCAGGTGAGCCTGCGGCCCTTCCCGTGCCCCTGAACCCGGTGAGAGGGGGACCCCAGGGCTCCGGCCCCAGGCTCTTCTCCAGGAAAGGGGGTGGGCTTCAAGTCCCCCTAAGCACAGCTGCCTCCCAGGGATGGGGGGGTCACCCCTGAGCCCCCAGCATCTGGGAATGGCTGGGGCTGTCTCCGGCTCTGTCCTGACCACTGGCGTGATGGGGCGGGATGAGGAAGGACCCCAGGAAATGCTGAGTGCTGAGGCGGCGAGCTCTGAGCCCACGCAGGTTTGCGAGTGGACCCAACGCTGGAGGGTGGGCTGTGATGACAGCGCAGGTGCATTTATTGGCGCTCCAAAAGCTTTACGTGGGTCACACGCTCGCCCTTCAGCAGCCTTCACGACCCACTGGGGTCATGACCCCAGCTGCCCTGTCATCTCGGGTCGGCGGGGGCACGGCCAGGTGGGGTGGGGGAGGGGGGCGAGGGAGCCCCGGCCCTGGAGCTGGCGGAGGCAAGGTCTCAGGCAGCGCCGGGAAGAACCCACAGGCAGTCACAGGCATGCGAGGTCCCCACGTGGAGTGGACGGGGCGAGGCCGGCAGAGCCTGCTTCTCCTGGGGGGGGGGGCAGGGGGCGGGGCGTGGAGTCCACGCCGGCTGATTAGCCAGCTCAGCCCAGGACGCCGGTCCCCACTGTGGGCTCCCAGCCTTTCCGCCTGGAGGAGGAGGAGGGAAGGAGGCCGCCCGGGGCTGAGTTGGGACTGGCCCGTCCAGGAGACGGGGGCGTTCTTAGGCCCAGGCAGGGCTTCCTGACCCCCTGGATGGACATGGATTGCGGGGACCCCGAGCCCAAGGGGCCTGTGGGCTCACAGGTAAAGGGAGACCCTGACCCAGGGCCGGCACAGGACCGTCCACGAGATTTCAGAGCGAGATTTCAGAGCAAGATGAGCCTGAAGAGCTGACTTCGTGGCAGCAACGGGCCCCTGGCAGCCAGGACCTCGGTGCGGGCGGCGCCTGGGTGACCCTCCGCAGGGGCCCAGCCCCGCCCGAGCCGCCCACCCCGGGGGAGCGTCGGCGGGCTGGACCCCCGTGCTGGGTGGGAGGCCCTTCTCCGCGGGGGCCGGCATCTCTGACGGCGCCTCCCCCGACCCACCCAGGACGACCACGGCTACATCTCCCGCGAGTTCCACCGCCGCTACCGCCTGCCTTCCAACGTGGACCAGTCGGCCCTCTCCTGCTCCCTGTCCGCCGACGGCATGCTGACCTTCTCCGGCCCCAAGGTGCCGTCCGGCGTGGACGGCGGCCACAGCGAGCGAGCCATCCCCGTGTCCAGGGAGGAGAAGCCCAGCTCGGCCCCTTCCTCCTAAGCTCTGCCTCGGCCTCGGCCCCGCCTGCTGCTGCCCCCATTCCCATCCGCCGGGGGGACCCCAGAAAGCGGGGCGTCTGTCTTCCTCCTCTTTCTTCTTTTCGTCCTCTTTTCCTCTTCTTCTCTGGGGGAAGGAGGGTTTGCCAGAGCAGCTTGGGGAGCTTGGGGCCTCGGCCTGAGGTGCTGTGACCTTGGGGTGACCTGGATGGCGACGCCAGCCGCTTGGTGGGAGTGACAGCTGCCCCACCTGTTTTAGACAGCAGCCCCACCCTCTCGGGGGACTCAGGCCTGTCTGGCTGGCCGAAAGGGCAGGAGGAGAACACCGCTGCTGGGTCATCTCGGGGTGACTCAGCTCGGAGCCCCTGACGCCCACGCCAGTACCCGGCCGCGTGCCCGCCCACAGTTCCCGGCCCCGAGGTCCCCGCCCGCTGGAAGCCCCGTGCGCCCAGGCCCTCTGCAGCCTGCTTCCCTCAGACCACCCTCCCCCCTCCTTCCTGTCTCTACTATGCTCTCGGGGCATCTGGCCACCCGCGACCCTGCGGCCTGTGGCGTGGCAGCCAATAAAGAGCAGGTGACACAAGCAACTTGCCGTCTGGTGGCCCTGCTGACTCCCTGGGGGCAGTGTGGGGAGTCGTGGAGAAGGCACAGGGGTCTGCCTGGTCCCGCTCCATCTCTCAGGGTCCGGGTCGGCCCCTGGACCCGGCTGCACGGGAGGGAGCGGGTTCCCGGAACCTGCAGGGATGAGGGTGGAGCCCGGGAGGTGGGAGGGAGAGCATCAGCCCCTTTCTCCGGCTCCCCTGGGAACCAGGGACCAGTGCAGGGGGTGTCTGGCCCTCCTGGCTCCGGCCACCCTCTGGAGGCCTTCTCTCCGGATGCACTTGTGTGGGGGGGAGCCCTGTAAGGGGTCCAGTGGCTTCCTGGGGGAAGAGATCCGGCACTCCAGAGTGGCCAGGGCGTGTCCACCTCCATCTGACACCATGCCCTGGCTCCCGGTGTGGGAGGTGCCCGCTGCAGGCGGCCTCCCCTCCGTGAAATAGGCTCAGGGGTCCTCAGGGGCTTGTGGAGACCAGAGCTGAGCCTCCCCCACCAGGAGTTGGAGGCCTTCTCCCTGTTTGCCCAGGCACCCCAAGAGGGGAGGAGACCAGGCCGGGGGCCTGCAGCCTCCGGGCAGGGTGGTGGGGGACCCTGACAATGGCACGGCGACCACAGAGAGGGTGAGGCGGGCGGCCAGAGGTGGCCTCCAGGCGCGGAAGCCAGCAGATGCTGCGGCTGGATGGCACTGCCATTGTGGTCAGGCCGTGGGAAGGGCCCCCTCCTGGGGACCGGAGGCGGGGTCACTGGGGTCTCTGACGGAGCCCAGAAGACACCCCTCGGGGTGGTGCCCATGCTCCTCCTGGGAGAAAGGGGACACCTGGGAGGCAGAACACACGAGAAAAAAATTTCCAAAAGGGATTGCTGTTCAACACGCAGTAAAGTGGTGTGTGGGTGCCAACACACACACACACACACACACACACACACACACACACACCCCTCTTGCATCTTTTTCACCGCTCTGGCTGTGGCCCCTGTCTGAAGGAGGGTCCTCACCCCCGTGGGAGTTTCCCTAGACTCCCTGTCACCAAATGCACCCCCTCCCAACAGGAAGGCCCCCCACGCCTGCCAGTTAATCCACGTCTGGAGAAAACATGGGGTGCCCCGTGTGGGTGGTGAACACGGCCTCCAGATGGGGCCAGGGCCCAAGAGTTGGGGACCTCCCGGAGCTTCCTGCTCCTCCTGGGTCCTTGGAGGGCCCCTTTTCTCTCAAACAGCCTGGCGCGCCATCGCACCGAGAGCTCAGGGTTGGGGCCCCGTCGGGGCCGGCTGCAGCCACCCCGGGTTGTCGTCAGATGCTGAGGGCCCTGTGGTCACTGCGGGTCTTGCTTAGGCCTTGTCATGGGCTGAGCTGTGTCCCCCTGTGTGGAAGCCCTAAGCCCTTCAGAATGTGACGGTATTTGGAGAAGGGACCTTTGAAAAGGAGATGAAGTGAATGAAGTGAAGGTCGTTAGGGTGGGGCCTAATCCACCACGGCTGGTGTCCCAGGGAGGAGACGGGGACGCAGACGCACACACACTGAGACGACCCCGTGAGGACACAGGGAGGGGACAGCTGTCTGTCTGTGTGTCAAGGAGCGAGGCCTCAGGAGAAACCGGCCCCGCAGACGCCAGGATCTTGGACTTCCCGCCTCCAGGCTGCGAGACCCTGAACTTCTATCATTTACCCCGCCCATCTGCGTACTCCCCGCTCGGCCTGACCTGACCACTACAGGCGCGAGGACACAGCCTGTGGCTGGGCAGGCCTCTGGTGACAGTGGCAGTAGGCTCGTGAAATCTGGATTATGCTCCTCAGGGATCTGCAGGGAGCCTCACGGCCCAGCCCAGGCAGGGGAAGTCAGAGAACCCCCCCATCACACAAGGCTCCCCGACTTCTTCAGCAGCACACATTGGCTCTTCCAGCTCCGGGGTAGGGTGGGAGAGTCTGACACCATCGGAGGTCCCCTGACTGGGATGGTCTCCCCCAAAGTCAGTCCCACGGACTGTTGCGGGAGGAACTTCTGAACCCACAGGACTCCCCACTCCCCAGCCCATTCCTCCTTCACGCTCACCTGTGTCTGCCTGGTGTGAGACCTGGAGAGCAGCACCTGTGTGGCTGCAGGGTCGCCGCAACCTGCTGCCGCCACTGCGACTCTGCCCCACAGGCCGGCGCTCCCTTGTCCTCACCGTGTCCGTCTCTAGTCACTTGTCCCCAACCCCCAGGGGACACTCCCCACACAGCCTGGGCCACCAGAGCCAGGCCCCGCCCACTCCAGCGTACAGGGCCACCCCCGCTACAAAAGCCATAAACATGAGGGCGGCTAGTGTCTCCCACACCTGCTGGCCCCTGGGACCGCCCCTCCAGAATGCTTTGCAAATAGGGACTGCTGGCCCCCACCTAGACCCACCGGATGGAAACATGCAGGGCTGGGGGCCAGGAGCCTGCACTCTCTAATTCTCCAGGCAGTGCCTGCAGCCAGGCGAACTCGGGGGACGCTAGGTAACAGTGGCTGCCTGCAGGGCGGGGGAGGCCTCCCTGAAGTTGCCTTTCCCGTCCCGGCTTCGCCCCCTCGCCCCACCCAACACGAGACCTGAGCGTAGTCACGGGCTTTTGGAGCAAGAATGAGCCGTGTCCTCCTCCTGGAGCCCCATCTGCACCTTGAGCAGCGGCTGCAGCGGCAGCAGGAAAAGAACTAACTGAGCAGCAGCCATTGTGAGCCAGGCCGTGCCCACCACACGGGCCGGGCGGCCCCCATGCGGCTTGCCCAGAAGCTTGTGAGGGGCTCCACTGTCAGGGGAGAGACACGGGTTTCCAAGCTGAGTCACTTGCCTGTGCTCCCCACGGGCGACATCCTGGCCAGGATCCACCCAGCCTGCCTGACCTCAAAGGCAGGACTATGAACCCTTCCATGCGGGGGTTTCACAGTGTCACCCCCTAACCTGTATGTCAGGAGGCACCGAGGAAGCCAGGCTAGTCCTGGTCTGCTGGTGACTTGCCATGTGACCTTGGGCAGGTCCTCACCAGTTTATGATGGTGGCGGACTAAGGCTCTGGGAGGCAGAGGACAGGGGGTGGGGGGTTGGCCAACCCACAGATGACTGCCTGCGATTCCAAGACTCACCACCAGGTGACAGAAGAGGCCTTGCCTTGGCTGAGACCTAGCTAGCAGCAGGCGTGAGCCTGTCCCTCAGGTCACCTTCACGGGTCCAGACAGCAGGAAGCAGCAGCAGCGCACATCTGCAGAGGGCCTGGCTGCTGCGGCTTGGCTGGCGATGTGGAACTGGGAGACCCAGCCTGACCTCAGGGAGTGGCGTCTGGCACAGGAGACTGGAACAGGGAGACACGATGAGCCACACAGGGAGTCGGTGGTATTTCTGTACGATAAGCACTTTTCGTTTCATTTGCTTGTTCGTAACATCGTTTGAAAAAGCAGAAGTCACTGTCTGGAGATCGTCCCTGTGCAGGTGGACATAGTACATCAGCCCTCCCTGCACGTTACCTCCAGCCCCCTTCCCCCTTCCACCCCGACCCCAGCCAGCTCCCCAGGCCTCTCCTAGGAAGACTCAGGGCAGCTTCCTGTTCTGTCATGCGTCCACCAAGGCCAGTGGGGGGCAGGGCAGGGCGGGGGATGGGTCCCAGCAGGAAGCCCCAGAGCCTGGCAGAGGTAGCAGGGTCACGGGCCAAAGGTCCTGCCAGCCAGAGGCTGCCTGCGTGTGGCCCCCTGGGAGCGTGCAGAGAGCTGAGGCCTGGGCACACGTGTCACACGGCAGCTTGAAAGGGAAAGGAGCCCCGGAGCGGAGGGACAGGCCGGGACAAGACTTCCGCAGGGCAGGGCAGGCAGCCTGCTCCGCAGGGCGGGCCTGCCACCCAACACCCACCTCAGCCTTTTTAAGATGGGGGGGCATGAAAAGCGGAGCCCCACTCAGGCTGAGGGCTGCGAGAGGAGCGGCCTGGCCAAAGGCTGCAGACCCCATGTGGTCCCGGTCAGGGCCAGCCCCTTGGCCTCTGGGCGCCAGGCCGGGGGGGCTCTGCTGTGGGGGGACTTTCTCCAAGATCTGGAACTGAGTCCAGGGGCAGCGGAGGCAGCAGGCCCTGCACCCGTGCGTGCAAGCTGCTGTCACGGAGACAGGCAGAATGGAAGCTCTGTACGCACGCCCAAACACGCAGCACAACTCACGTCCACACTCATACACACACAGACACGTGCAACCCAACACACATGTGCACAGATGCACACGAGCGCACAAACCCGCACGTAAACACCCCCCCCACACACATACATGTGTTTGCACGTACACACACGCCTGTCACGGCCACAGACAAGCAAGCTGTAGGCTCTATTTCCTGCTTCTCACTGCGCTGGCTTCCCCGTGTGTCTGCTTTGTACTTGCACTTGAAAGACACAGTCGTACACAGAGGCGGCCTACCCGTTTCTCTGCCTTGAGGAGAGGCCTCTCCCGGGTGCAGCTCAGCAGAGCTCCCGTACCGGGCGCTCCGAGGGAGACCCGGGGCTCTTTGTGCTGCTCGGGCCCCTGATTGCTTTCTGAGGCTGGGGCTGGTGGAAGTGAGGGTGGGGCTGTGTGCTCAAGGGCACCCCAAGGTCACCGAGAAGGAGGGGCAGTGGGAAGCAGAGGCGGCTTGCCATTGTGAGGAGCTGTCAGGGGCCAGCGAGCACTTCGCCTTTATCCCACCAGGAGCCAGAAATCAATAAAGAGAAAGTGGCTCAGAAGCATGGGTTCCCACAGCCAGTGTGGGCCTCTTCAGACGGAGCCCCGCTGGCATTTAAGGGTGGTTTTGCAGGTCACATGGGCCTGGGAGACCAATCAGACCCGGAGGACCCAGGTGGAGACGGAGGTCCCCTCCCCCCCCACCCCAACGGGCACGTCTGCAGGAATGTTGAGGCCCCGTGCTGGCCTGGAAATGGCCTTCACACGGTGTGGGAGAGAGTGCTGAGCTTGGCGGGGCTGGAGGCTGCTTTCTTCTGACGCCGATAGCAGCCGATGTCTGGGGTT